ATGGTCCTTATCGTTATTATAAGTTTTAATTTCTACATAAAAATATATAATAAAAAAATTAGGTCCTATGCAGCTGCCCATTTCCCCCCCCCCCCCCCCCGTCCCCCCAACGCCTCCATGTGTGTGTGTGTGTGTGTATATATATATATATATATATATATATATATATATATATATATATATATATATATATATATATGGGGATAGGGAATATACATTACAGCCTCACCTAAGCTTAGGTACTAAACCTATAAAATATGTTGTTTTAGCTTAGTAAATATGCCCGATTTGGTTTTCACTTGATAAATATATCATCCTCGATAACATTTCTTTCCTCCATTATCATTTTTCCATCCCTAATTTCTTTCCTCCATTATCGTTTATTACTTCACCCCAGTGAACATTACTTTTTTCTGCTGTCACGAAGATCTAAGATAATCAATATTCTTGCTTCCTTATCAAAACTATTGCGTCGATCTTGAATCTACATCTTCAATTTTAATCGTGAATCCCCTAACCGCAATCTTTATATAGTAAAACAACGTATTTTCATGAGGTTTAGTACCTAAGCTTAGGTGGGGCTGTAATGTATATTCACTTTTCCCTATATATATATATATATATATATATATATATATATATATATATATATATATATATATATATATATATATATGTCTTTTGTATACAAAATGCAGGGAATATGGTTGGGGTTGGTCGGGGGTATGTTGATGCAGACAATGATTTTGTGTTGGGTTATTTTTCTAACGGATTTGAACAAAGAGGTAAATTTTCAAAACGATAAAATTTAGAATAATTTAATGATTTACTTGTTTGTAGTAAATAATCTACCTATATTTATAAAATTTTCAGGTAATGTTTGCGAATATTCGAGTGAAGCAATGGCAACATAAGAAAGAGGAACCTTTGTTAAACAATTAAGATCTTTTTACTTTTAGTATTTCATTTTTTTTTAACAATATTTTTTAGTTTTTTTAGAGCAACATAAGGTGACATTTGTGTGCAATTCATTGAAAGTTGATCATAATAAATTCCAATTATTAACATTTATTTTAATTTTAGATGCTTGAAATTAGTTTAAACTAGGATTTGGACGGTCTATGCGATGTTGTGGAATCCCAATATGTTGAAAATCACATCTCGACATGGATAAAGTTTTTGGGAGAAATTTATGCGCGTTGCGGCGAAAAACTTCTTTACAAAGTGAATCACAAAAATATAAAATAAGGTTTCGAAGCAAAAAAATTATGTATGGATGATGCATACAAAATGAAGTTTAAAATATATCTTAAACATATTAATCATCGTTTAAATAAAAAAGTAATATTAATAAAAAAGAAAACTATAATAACAATTATGTAAAAACAATTATGTAAGGATCCAAAAATGTAACTTTAAAACAAACAATTATGTAAGGATCCAAAAATGTAACTTTAAAACAAACAATATAGTAAGTGATATATATATATATATATATATATATATATATATATATATATATCTTAATAAAAGAGTACTTTGGATGCCACTTGTCCCTCTTTTGCACCTCCAACTTGCCACGTGTCTTTACCAGGGACTTCTTATGCATCAAATTCCCGCCCATTCTTTACACCAAAAAATCGAAAAATCAACCCCTAAAAATCAGCTCACAGATTTTCAATTACCTGCAAATAAAAACTCATATTAATCCTATATTTATGGTCAATTTATGGTCAAAAAACCGATAAATCAGCTCCTTTAAATCCACATTATTATCTCCTGTAAATCAGGAATCAAATGAACGCAAATCGTTGACTACTAATTCGTTTTTTTTTTCTGCCAACTATTTGTGGATCATAATCATAAATCTGTAACGATTTCCAATTTTAAATCAATTACCCACTAATCAAATCCATAAAAATCAGGAACAAAATTTGTGCTTCATTAGTCTCTGCATATTTATATATACCTATCGAATTGCACATAAACTTCTACTGCTTTGCCCTCAAATTTTCAGTTTCTTATCTGCTCTGCTCTACCGATTTGTAAAAGGTTAGTAATACAATCTTTTCAATTTTTTTTTCTTTTAACATCAAACTCCACATCTATTTCGGTAGTTTCGATCATTCTTTCTTCTCTTTTTTTTTCGGTAGTTTCAATCATTCACAACTCATAATATGTTTGATTCTATGTTTACATCAATGAATTGACTTTCATTCTTGCTATGTTTGCAGCAAATGCAGGTACTATTTTAAAAGTTGTTATTTTTCGTTTTTTTTTTCCTGCCAATTATTTTCAGATCATACTCCTCTATCGATTTTTTAATTTAAATAAAAAAAAATTTATATATGTAAAATACAATATGTAATCTGTAATTCGTTTTTTTATTTCTGCCAATTATTTGCACAAATTTGGTCAAATTCCTGAACTTAATAGAGCAATATAAAATAAAGATTATACATTGTTTTGACAGATTTTGTTTTCATGTGATTTGGTAAAAGCACTTATATGTAGAATCTTTAATGAATGAAATCGAAGATTAGACCATTTGACCTCAAAATTTAAAGATGAGATCATAATAAATGAACATACCTGAAGTAAACTAGGAATAAGTCCTGCATAAAGAGTTGAAACACGTCCATTTTCAACAATCTTTACACATGTTGCTAAGACACTCATTTTATTTGCTCCAACTTGCAACTATAATTGTCTTCTCCCAACTTCACAAGGGTAAGTAGCTACCTCAACACAAGCACTAGAAATTGCACCATGTAATAAAGTTCTCATTGGCCCCACTCTAACTGTTCAAAATTGTTCAATTCATCTCCTTGCTGCTTCATATCCTTGATTCTTTGCTTTCCTTCAGGTCAATTGAACTCCAAAAAACACTGCACTTGATGGAGACAATTATGCTGAAGATTGAAGGAACCAATCCTTTATAAAAACAAAAGAATCCTTCTGTTTATATGTTTATATGATGTAGCGAAAAGCTCCTATCACACCTCCCAAGGATTCACAACTAGGTACCACTAACTTTGCTCGTATCTGTTAGAATCTAATATGACTTTTATTTTAAAAAAAAATATAAATAAAAGTAACACAATAAAATCTGCTGACTTTCAGAGGATATGTCCTCATATGGAATGTAAATCATTAAAATAAATCTCTTTTTAATTTTGAATACACACAATCAACAATAATCTCCTACTTTATAGCATTTTCGATTTTCAAAATTGAATAGTTATATTTGCTGAAAATTTTCAGAGTACCTGATCATTTCAAATATACCCGGTCATCATTTTTGTTTTCCGGAGAACGTCTTTCGGTTGTCATCTTCAAAGAGATTATTCCTGCATATTCAACAAGTAAGTGATTATATGTAAATATTTATATTTTCACGATAATGAAGAAATATGAACAATAGATGGAAGGATGTGTTCAATCTTTGTCCTGATTGTATGTAAATATTTATATTTTCACGATATGTAAATATTTACAGTTGTATTTGGATTAACACTTCCAATTTCATAATCTTTGTCCTGATTTGCAATCGACGCCAGCAAAATGTGTTTAACCTAATTTGTTTGAAATAGAATCCCATGATTTATCTGATTCCGATCTTACTGGTATGCGAACTCTCCATAGACATTTGGGGGTATCTTCTTAGTGCAATAAATTGGGTACTTTTTATGCTATTGAGTCTGTATGTGTCTCGAAATTGTTACTCGGTATACGGTTACAGTCGCCTCCAGCTCGCCATGGACTCGCTACACTACCCCCTCACCTTTGCTAGAGGAGTCGCCAAAGATGGGTTGCTACACCCTTAACGAGATGAGAGAGAAAGCAAGAGATGACTGTGATTGTTGGTTGAGTTTTGTACAAAAATCGAAGAATCCTAGAAGAAAATAATAAGAAAGATGATGAACCTGGGTATTTTGAGCCTTCAATGGACGATAGTTCAAAGCTTCAATAGGTGATTTTGTTGCTGTTGTGTTCTTTTAACCAGAAAATTTTGGAAGATAAAAGTTGCGTTTTAACAAAGAGGAAGATAAAGAAGTTACATATTTAGTCCTTAGAGTTTCTGCCACTTAGTATGTTTTATCCAAAATAGATACCTTTTGTTTAATATTAAATTTTTGTGTTTTATAAACATATAATTTATTTAATATGAAATGTTTGTGTATTAAAGAATATAATTTCGATAAAACTTCAAAAATGGTCACTGTGGTTTTCGAAAATATCAAGTTTAGTCCCTAAGTTCAAAAAACCTCACAGATGGTCCCTGTGGTTTCAAAACTTTTAACATTTGGTCCTTTTCGTTAACTCCGTTAGCTTTTGGCCATTAAGTGAAGGGTATTTTCGTCATTTCACTATCCAGGGACCATTTATGAGGTTTATTATTATTATTTAAAAAAAATGAAAATTTCAGTTTACTCTCTCTCTTTTCTCTCTCTCTCTCTCTCTCTCTCTCTCTCTCTCTCTCTCTCTCTCTCTCATTGCACATCAAAACCACCATGGGCAACAGAAAACAACAAAATAAAAATTGGTTTCTGCAAAATCGAATGAACAGAAAACGCATAAAGAAATGAAAAGGGGGAAGATCGAAATCAGGAGGTTAGATGACCAAAAAGGATTCATGCTGCGAGTGAAACCAAGTTACCCTTGTCAAAGTTCGTTTTCAAACCTAACGTACCGATCTGCTCAGTAACCTTTTTAACCTTCCATCGGGGACTGCTCAGTTAGACATGTTTGCCGACCCCAGAAGATGTGCCAAATCAAAGTAATTTGAGGCGTAGGAAGGATAAATTGATTTCTGAAGTTCGCTGATGTAAATGACCACCAGTGAAGCATGAGATCGACGATGGGTTGAAGTGGATGAAAGCATATTGCTTTTAGGGCTTATTGAAGGAAGAAGCAAGTGAGGATATGATCGAAGACATCTACAGCAAGATACACCATTTTCAAATAATCAAAAGGTACAACCAAATTGAGTTTCAAAATCAAGTTTTGGCAATTGGGTCTTCTTCAATGTCTTCATCCTCAGACGCATAGGTATCACCAAAATCTCTACAGGCGGTGGATGCTTTGGGGGGGTCATCGACTGAATCGTCGACACCTGTGACAGAGCAGGCCTTTCTTAGGGATTCCATATATTCGTCAAATCCGGTATCAGAATCACTGTCGGAGGATTCGTCTTCATTGTATGGTATTTTAAAAGTTAATCTGATCGAATGACAGACTTTGGATGCAATTTTCGGATTGGATCAATTGGGGTTATGGGTATCTAGGATGTAGGATTTAATGAGGAAGAGGCGACCGCCTTCCATTGTTGTTACGACTAATCGTTTGTTCATCCTCTTCGAAACATAATTTTTAGTTTCCACTCCCATATCGTGGTTCAGTTTCCACTCCACTTGTTTGACAAAATAACACACCACTCCAGAAACGATCAATTGAAGTTGGTTCCGTTATCAAATTAGGGTTTTCCGATCATTCTGTAACTGATCTGAATCCATCGATGGCAGAAACGATCTCGGTATATTTTTTCTTTTTTTTTTAAAAATAAGGTAAAACTTCATAAATGGTCCCTGTGGAAGTGAAATGACAGAATTGCCCTTCACTTAACGGCCAAAAGGTAACGGAGTTAGCGAAAAGGACCAAATGTTAAAAGTTTTGAAACCACAGGGACCATCTGTGAGGTTTTTTGAACTTAGGGACTAAACTTGATATTTTTGAAAACCACAGGGACCATTTTTGAAGTTTTGTCTATAATTTATTTAATTTTCATAAAAAATAAAAAATAATTAAGGAGTGTTAGGAGTATTACAACTCCCTATGAAATGCTAAGTAAAGATGCTAACGAGGTGGCAGGCTAAAAAATGACATGACAACAAAAAAATGATGTGGCAGAGTGTTAGAATTGCTACCACTCCCTTAATGATATTGTATCATGTCCTATGTATTTCACTATAGTTTTAAATGACATTTAAATTTGAAAATACCATTGTATATATTTATGTCAATAATTTTATAAGTGAATATAATTTATATAGTACTATACAATATCAATATATTTAATTAATTTTTTTAAAACATCCTAAATATCATCAAAAACATATTAAATATTAATTATAATCATGTTATAAAATTAAGTTTTAAACTTAAAAGACAAATAACATAAATATGCAAATTATTAATTGTTTCCAAATAATTGATTAATCATTGTGATTTAGATTTATCATTTATTTACTATTTGATTATTGTATCAATTTATGTTTATGTTTTATTTAAATTTATATTGCATTCTACAACAAAATGATAATTTTCTAACATATCTACAAATATAAATTATCAATTCGATATTTAAATTATTATGTTTTCGTAATTTCAACCAATCATTATATCTAAATATTAAATTTTTTTATTATCACTCAATAATTAAGTTATAGATTCATTAAAATTATTTTTAAATTTGTTATCCGTAGTGCCCACGGGTTATAACCTAGTATATATATATATATATATATATATATATATATATATATATATATATATATATATATATATATATATATATATTAGCCGTTTACCCGCGCCAAGTGACGGGTGCAAATAGTTTTTTCAGTAATCAGTTTCCAAAGACGATTAACTCTTTTGTGCAAATAGTTTACTACATCAAAACAGTTATCAACAAAAGTTATAGCAAATACGAAATGAGTAAGAAAAAAATGAATAGTTACAATGGTTTACAAATGTGTACGAACACATGATTGGTGAATCTTTTTCTTATGAGTAGTATCCTTTGTTGATTAGTTGTATAGTCGCCATGGGGGTTTTTTTTTTATCTTAGACCGGTCTACACATGCATACACTACTTTACTCATAAGTTTACATCTTTTTACTTGAACCCCCCAACCTCTTGTTGTGGAGCAACTATTTGTCAACTTCTAATACCGTTAGACCATAGGCACTTTAAGGGGGAAAGGGGTACCGTTGCGGCAAGCAATAATTAGTTTAATTTTAGTCACCTTCCGTATTATTAAGAACAATAATGGATTGATAAATATTTACTATTGAAATATATTGATCGACAACATAATTGTTTTGTGCTAAAAATAAAAATATATTGTTATTTTTCATTAAATTTAAACCACGATATATTTTAGTTACAACTAAAAGTGTTTTGTTGATTTGGATGAATTCTGATCAAGTGTATAATTATTTAAATAGTTGAATTATTTTTTTTGAACAGTTGAATTTACGTTGAAATAAAAATATACGACCATTAAATTCAAAAGAAATACACATATTAGTTAATGTCTTGCAAGTTTTATTATTTTTGGATTAATAGTTTTTGAAAAGGTAGGTTGTTAGATTGGATCAATGTTATAAAAAATATATGTCAACATTATTTGTTTTGTTTATATGGTTATTTATTTATAATCTATTAATAAGTAACATATAATACCAAATTAAAAGTTTGAAACCAAACAACTGATAATCGATGCTTGTAGTTTATAAGAAGTTGATTAGGTCCTTATCAATAGCCAAATAACATTTTAAATGTTTAGAATGTTTAAATAGTTGGAATATTATCCCTTTGTAACAACTTTAATAATTTCTAATTTGCTCGGATCAATATTTTCAAATTGGGCTCAGTAAATCTATCGTTCGACTTGGTGAATAATGTCTCTACCTTATTGAATTGTTTTTCTCATTTGACTCATTATTAGTTTATTTAAAAATTAATAACATAATATTCTTTTAAAAATTTTAAATATGAATTATTAAAGTTAATTTTGTACTGGCATGTAGTTCCACTTGGTGGATAATGTCTCGGCTACATCCAGTAATTGTATTTTTCTATTTAGAACAATATTAACTTGCTAAATAATCATACCATACAATGTTTGTTTTAAAAACTCTCAAACATGAATAATAAAGCTTAAATTACTAAAATAATTATGAAATGATTTTTAAATATGTAATGAGATTTAAATATGACATACTGGTATATATTTAAAAATCTCTTTTTCTTGTTGTATATATCAACACGAGACACAATCCATACAGAGGTAATTATCAATTCCCCAAAATCATATCCCATTTTCCACACACACACCAAAAAAAAAAATAAAATAAAATAAAAATAAAAAAGACTTTATATGATATACAAGGGAAAATTTGAAATAAGATTTACAGTGCATAACTAATTCATAATTTGAACTCTCGCAGTCTCTTTAACATCTTCATTAGCTGCAATTGTGATGCAAAGGATAAAAAGCAAAAGTTACAATGATGAGTCAAAGTTCTTGACTTTATGTATGAATTAATTAGTTTTAAAATGGTTATTAAAAAATCTGAGTTCCATTCACTCCTTAAGCTATATACAACTTGAAATGTATTCTTTCTTCCCTTGTAATACACTACCTTCTTCAAAAGCACCTGTCAGATTTGAAAACCCATCTGTAAGTAACCTATGAAGGTTGAAGGCTAAATATTGGTCATAACTTCTAACTTCCAATAAACATAATACAAGATAATGAGTAAGAACTAACAGTAAACCCATCTATTTTATGTAACTTCATAAGAAAATAACAAATATAAAGTCTTACATTGCTGGTTTGTTCAGATACAAAATATGGAGGGTGATCACATTCTTGATGTGTTCAAGTCTGACCCTCAAGTTAGGTTTACGATCTATCACTGATTTCTTCGATTTCGGAGAAAAATGTACACAAAATTTGACATCTTTGTTGCACAAATCGATAAAAAGGGAAAAGGATCGTTTGGTGCTTACAATATGAACCACCAGATAAGTTAGTGTTCTTGTTCCTGTTCATCACTCCGATTTTCATTCCATCAACCTTATTCATTCACGTTCTTTCCCATTTTCATCCCAATAAACACACACATGAATTCAGATAGCCTCTGATCAAAACGAAAATTATCACAACCAAGAAAACAGATAGGTGGGCTTTAATAGAGATGAATATAGAAGAGTCTGACCTTCAATCATGTTCAAAAAACAATTACGGCTTAGAGGTCTTGACGTTATTCAATGCTTGAATGCAATAACGATGGTGACGCCGCTTGTGGTTGAAGGAAGGGATGACGTCGGTGGAGCTTGGTGTTTGAAGGTATCGATGATCATGCGGTTGATGGGATGACGTCGGTGGAGCGTGGTGATTGCCGACACCATCTACGCCAGCTTCGTCACCGTTACAACCGACACCGCCACCTCCCTCTGACGCCTCTGTTACTGACCCTGGAACCAATCTTGATATTCATTCTAAGATCTATACAAAGAGGTATTTACAACTCAGATCTACACACAGAAACATAGATCTATAAACATGTGTGTGCATATATCGATGACTATTTACAATTAAAGAGGATTCCTTCTTTTTAAAGTGGTCAACTTATCCATCGATCCTAGGAATTAAACCGAAGCAGAAAATCAAAACGTGGGCATGAAATCAAATAAACCGAAAATCCAAAAGGAAACAAACACTCAAAATTTAGTTTACCTGAAAAATAAATCAATAGAACCGTATGTGACTTTCATCGATTCTATGGTGACCATAGACAGAGAAAGAAACGGTGAGTGGTGGTGTTGGGTTTATCAGACGATGGAAGGTAGTCCATTTAGCAACAAGGCAAAAATGGTGGTTAGCAGAGGCTATCATATTTTGTGGTTAGGGTTTTCCATGAAAAATATTTGAGCGAGACACCATGGGAGAGTATGCGAGACAACTTTATGTTCTTTCGGTGGAGAATGAGGTGAGATTCAGGGTTAGGTGCGGGGATCGGATAGTGGAGTTCTTAAGGGGAGTCTTATGTTGACCGATTCAACTCCTCTTTGAACGATTCAATTGGCGAATTTGAAGATAATTTTTTGACATTTTCATTTTACAGATAAGATTTAGTTTTTGTTTACAGGATAAGATTTCCTATGCATAAAATGAATGTAGATAAGTAAGACTTGTATCTCTTAAAATTCAATATTTAAGACTTAATAAGCAACATTTAAGGCTAAATGCTTATTAAAGTATAAATATATATATATATATATATATATATATATATATATATATATATATTGTTTATTTTTTTTATAAAAGAATCTACATTTTAACTTCTTTATACCTTTAAACTTGTTTTTTTTCCAAAAAAATCACAATTTTTACATATTACTGGTTTATTTACCATACAGGTAAAGTGAGTTTTTTACATAACATACCCTATATTTTGCATTTTTTTCGTTTTACACCCAAAACATTTTTTTTTCAAAATAAACTCAAATTTTGTTAATGGAGTTGATTAACAACATGTAACCCTATAACCCCTATCTCACGTGCGCCCTAATCATCGATCGCCTAAAATAATAATTGATTTTAAAAGCCTAGCTCACATTTCCACTTCTTTTGGTACATCATATTGGGTTGTGACGTCCCAAAAAATGTCAATAATAAAATTCTATTTTAAAATATCGAGTCATACATACAATGGTTCGAAATCCAATCAGTATCAATTGTATTTTCAAACATTAGAGTATATCAAAACTAATCAATGTGGAAAAAGCCATCGGGGGACGCTATGCAGTCAAGCCGGCCCCTGCCTTCTGGATTTGAGAGTACCTGAAAAATGTTTACACCATAAACAGTAAGTACAAAGCATAGTGAGTTCCCCAAAATACTACACACCATACATATCAACGGGCTCAACCCACATATTGGGCCCAACCCAACATACAAATCGGCCTAGCCTAATATATCAATGGACCTAGACGAGCATATCAATGGGCCCAACCCATCATGAAAATGGGCCTAGCCCGACATGCAAATCAATAGGCCCAGCCAAACACACAACGCAAGAGTCACAAAGACAATTAGCATCCAATACAATATAGTGAGAAGGCTTACCTGACTCACAAGATCAGCTAAACCACAGCTCAATGTCCTGCAACAGATGCTACAACACTCCTATCAAAATAATCAAGGTCCAACCTTAGTCAACACACTAGATCCAACAATCTTGACCTAAAGTCAACCTAGGTCAACAAGTCAACAGTCAAAGGTCAACCCTCAAGGTCAACAAACCAAAAAAATCATCTTAACGAATCGCTACGTCGTGGCCTTCCATTGGCTAAATCGTGGTAGCATAAAGACAAAACAATCGAGTCCTTTCCCAGTCGCCATGTCATGGCAGCCTATGGCCACACCATGGGGATCGGTTTAAACAACTTAATATATTTAGTTGTTTTTCAGACAATTCCAAGAGCTCCAAAGCTCAGATCGGATTCTCCACACGGTTTTAATGGATAAAGTTTCCCACTTTATCCAATAAGACATCTCAATAAGTCAAGATCTCAAGCTCTAAATCCTTAAAGGCAACTCAAGGCATGCAAACACCCATTAAGCACTTAATCACTAGAGTTACTCCTCCAAAGTTTCCAGAAGTGTTTCCTACACCTAATGGAACATAAAAATTGTAACTTTATGGACATGCATGTCCAATCCATGTCCCTTCCATTTTAGGTCAAAAACATGACAAATGTGTACTCAAATCTTATGCATGGGACCAAATTGTTGGACTAGGTGTCTAAGCCTATAACGATAATTGGTATGTACTTTATTTGATTATGAGCATTGTCCTTTTGGGTTGCCTTCAGTCATGCAACTTGATAAGATGACCAGTGGAGAGAGAGTAGAATTTATTATATGAATAATAAATTGGTACTCGAAATGATTTTATTAATATATTATAAGATTAATATATTATTTGGAAATCATATTATTAATTAGTAATTAATCAGAAATTAATTTGATATTAATTTTGGGATTAAAGGAACTGATTAATAATGGAGGGGTTGTTTTGCAAATCATTGATAGTTGCAAAATGGGCTGATGGACTCCTTAATTAGGAGTGGACAAAATCATATAGGGAGGCCCTATAGATTTCGTCCAAGGCCTCATAAGGAGGAGTCTATGGGCTTCTTAAGCCTTAAGCATGAATTAGGGTTTCCTCCAGAAACCCTAGCAGCCCACAACTATATAAGGAACCCCTCAGGCATAAGAATTTCGGCCCTAAGCTTAAGAAACCCTAGGATAGCCGATTTTCCACCTCTCTCCAAGTCATTCTTTGCATTGAGTGTTTGTGACTCCATTAGAGGTGCAACACTTATGGCACTAAGCTTTCAAGAGTCAATGTGATCTTGTTATTACTACATAACAAGCAAGGCAACTTCATAACCCTAATTTATATGTGAATTTCGAATTGTATATGCTAGATCTAGGGTTATTGATTTGGTGTTCATATTTTTATGTTCAATAGAGAAAACTTAGATCCAAAGCAATTAGGGTTGCATGATCACATAGGAATGTTGATATGCTCAAAACCCATTAGTGGTATCAGATCCTAGGATGTTTTTCAATTGAGTTGGTTCAAGAGTGAACTGTCCAAAGTAGAAGAAAATCGATTTTTTGTTGTCTGGACAGGGAACTCGACGTGTTCAAAGTAGAACTCGACGAGTTGGGTGAACTCGACGAGTTCCTTGCCTAACTCGACGAGTTGACTCGTCAGTTTCCAGATTTTTCGAATTTTTTTATTAGATTTTGATTTGGATAAATACCATAATTCGTTTTTATTGCCTAAAATCGATTTTTCTGATTGGTAACTTGATATCCTTATCAAATTTGAAGATATGGTTAAATTTGGATAATATAAGATTATTTTGATTCATAGATTTAACCTAGTAATTTTGAATAGTTTCAAATTGCACCCTTTTGGTTTTGTAGTTTAAATTTGAAATTAAAAGTTTTGGTTTTAGAAATTTAAATAGTTAAACTCTCGCATTTTGAATAGTTTGAAATTCACCTCATGGATTTTATTAATAAGATTAATTAAATGTTTAATTAAAAGAGAATTAATATATCCACAATATGGTTTAAATTTAATTAAATTAAAAGTTTAATTTATTAAAGGATTAAACCACTTAGTATTTTAAAAGTTTAAAATACACCCTTATACTGTATAAGATTAAAATTTTAATTTATATATATGCATAAGAAAAGTCAGTCTTACAGTTAGTATGCCTCATTCACGAAGTTGATCTATAAGGGATGTTTAAGGAAGCGGCCTGTAAAATGACCGCCATTGGGTATCCACTCTTACCCACCGCACTCTTGACCAGTGGAGGGTCGTTAGTCGAACGGGTAGGATAGGAAATCCTCATTAATAAGTATAATGAAAATACAAAGTAACTAAACCTTTTATAAATTCTCAATCTTAGTTACTTTAGAAAAATGTGAATTTGATGCTATACCATGAAATTGCACATTACACCTTATTGGCCAGTTAGTGGAGAGTGTGTGGTTAACCAACACACTAATGTGGACTAATGAAGGATGGAAATGGGTTTCTCGTAAATTATAGTTGATCAATGGAGCGTGTGTGGTTAACCGACACATTGATTAGGTGATAAATGACATCGAGAGTACCAATCTAATTTGCATGGTTATTCACACCTTGTTTGTGATCCTCGGTATCCCAGTCACAAACTTGAAGGGCATAATCGAGATTAAACATGCCATTGAAAAGTTCGATGAATCTCAAAAGATCTAGAAATTTCATCTAAAACTTAATTCGTTAAAATTTTGTTTTTGGGTTAGAATTGGTAAATCGTAATTTACCTACCTTCAAATAATTCGCAATTGGATTACAACATCCCTCTTCCGAATTGTTAATTATTGTGTTGGGTCCTAGCCTTAATATTTCATTTGGGTGTTATATTAAGGATTAAATCAACTAACTTGAATTTTCTCCCTTGTAGATGTCTAGTTTTGACAACTATGGTATTCCTTATCCTTTTGGAAAAAGCTTTCCTCATGAAGATGATATTCCACGTGTCGATCGAGTGAAAGATTAATCCCTTCTTCGTTCATTGGTGGAAATGGAAATCATATTTCTTTTCCTCCACCTCCTCCAGTGATTCTCCCTAACCCACATTTTCGTCGACTTGAAAAGTTCAAGGTCACTCAAGCCCTGTTGGCATGTAAGCATCGAGATGGAAGTCCTGTATGTGCACACGTACTGAAGATAAAGCTGCACATTGACAGACTGGGAATATTGGGTGTCGTTTTCCCAAGGAAGTTGGTTTTTGACTTGGTTCTTCAATCACTTACTGAGTCGTAATGTCAGTTCGTTGAGGACTACTATATGAGAGACCACGACGTAACCCTTATTGATCTGACATTGGTAAAGCAAAATTGATTGGAAGATCTATCTCCCAAATTTCCATGGACATAAGCAATGAAAACGATGATAGTCCAGAAATGATTTCTTCTCCCAAGGGAGAGAAATTGGCCGAAGTCAAAAAGTTTGACCTTAAGAGAAAGGCCAGTTCTGAGATAGTTCCATGTGCAAATTCTAAAGAGTCCACCTGTTTCTATTGTCAATTGAGGGGGCATTGGAAGCGAAGTTGCCCTGACTACCTGAGAGATCTAAGAGATGGTAAAGTCAAATTGTATGGCTCTACTTCAGGTAAATCCACTATCTAACTCTATTAAGTTCCTGTTTATAGATTCTTAATACATTATGTGATAAGATTGCATTTTGATGTTTTGTAGGATCGAAGAAAATGAAGGAAACTTAAAGGAAGAGTAAGCTGAGTCTGATCGTGAAGAGA